CACTCCTCAAAAAGGCACAAAACTTTTTCGTTTAAAAATAAAAAATTTTCTAAGATGATATACACCTCAAATTTTCTTTTCGCTTGCTTTACTACGTTGAGATTGCTTATTTGATGACACAAGAATATAAAAATTAGCATCAGTAGTGAAATGGCTAAGATTTATTTTTGAAGCATTCTTTTTCATAGAAATGAAAATTGACAAGTCCTTAATATCCATTACAGTGTTCTAAATCTTTAAGAAGCTTCCTGAATCCTTTAAATCTTTGCAGAATCCCATGAGCTAAAAAATTTCTAATTTTCAGACCTTGTAGTTACACCAAGCAACCAGTTACTTTGCACCTCTCAAAACTCTCTGTATGAAAACGCTGTTTGAACTGAGAATGCCAAAAATTCCAAACTTTCTACCGTCAGAAAAACAAAAAATATTTCCATCAACAAAAAATAACACGGCAAATATCAAGGAACCTAAGAGGTTTTACGTTCAATTGAACAAAATGAAAAAAAAAAAATACGTCAAAACTTTCGGGGCGATTTCAATACACGCAGCAACCGTGTTACTTCGCATCTGTTGCGACGACAGATTTTCCCAAACGACGCACGAAGCTATCCAGAAAAGAACGGCAACAGCAGACTTAAAACATCGCATTACATTAAGATGAGGCAGAATAAACTTTAGATCATTATATAAATCCTACGGTATACTAATAGGGTAGTAACTAAAAGATGGGGCTGCAGTGATTCATCAAAAGCCAAAATTAAAAACTACTCCTTGACAACTAGGTTGTTAATGAGAAACAAAATGAGGACCTGGTGTGATGATGAAAACCAGTTATTGACCGAGACCATATCTGCAATTCCGCAAAGTAATTCTTGTTGCCTGAATACGCAACTGTGACTCTTTAATTGTAACAGACTCTTGTTATAATTCCTTAAAGTACAACGACTGCAAACCAAATCAGCCATCCATTCCAGAGAACTGGCCATGATTTGCTTCTTTCCTTCTAAAACAAAGTGAAGAAAATTCAATTATTAAGAGG